CATCAATGGTACTCCTTAATGGATTCTTGCATGTACTTCGATGGCCGACTTGTGATAAAAATTAAGACCCAATATGTGCCAACAGCTATATCTTTAGAACATGATGTAGGAGCACTCAAACTAACATCATTATGGTTGAAAGAACATTCAACTACTTGTTCAGAACTCACCACCTCCTTAAGAGTAGAATTTGATTCATGTCCTTCTGCTCCTTGTATTGTAATAACTATCTCAGCACGGAAGTTATCATTATATACATTTATGAACTCAGTCACCTCAAAATCAGAATTGATTTCTTTGTACTCCTTTGGTGATGTACCAAATATGTAATAATACATATTATATGGATGACCCTTAATCCATGGGCATATTCTAGCAATTTCCCCTCTAAGTGTGGAAATTGTGAGTTGTCCTTTCTTAACTTTAACAGTCCTTTGTTTGCCACCATTGTACCTCTTCCGATGTTGGTCATTTGTTTGAACTCAGATTCCACCATACTTAAATACAACAGAAATATACTCTTTCTGCTCTTCATATATTTTTTTTTTCAATATTGTCACCATAAGCCTGCACTTACAATGGTTAAAATGTTATTTGAACATTTATGAAGTCTTGCATATGAATCATTGAACACTTACATAATCGGCCGTCTTGGAACACATCAGTATTTGTTTCAAACAACAAACAATTTCCTTCAAATTTCTGTTTCAAACAACAAACAATTTATGTTTCAATACTTTAACTTATTTAAAAACAAATCTTAGAAAAATCATTTATCTCTGTTTATTAATGTCATGTAAGTTTAAAAAATTTCTTAGAAAAATAAGTGCATGAATCTCTGGAGCTAAGGTAATCATTTATTGGAACAACCTGAATATTGGAAAATGCCTGGAGACTAATTAATTGAAAAATCATTTATCTCTGTGGTCTAATAAATCTACGACATTTCGCAGTTCTTATTACTGTCATTACAGCAACCCTGAAGGAAATTCGGCGGAAGAAATTACCGTGAAGAACAATGCGATCAGGACCTTCAGATGGTGGAAAATGCGAGACGTCCGCCGAAAGGAAAAATGAGAGGCTTAGCGGGGAATTTCGGCGGGAAGCAATACTTCTGTCCGTCTGTCACAGTTAAGGGGCGGACACAGAGAAACGTCGTGAGCAGGCGTTAGATGGAGTGGTAGAAATGAAATAAAGTAGGGATTTGAGTGGTATATATATATAATATTAATGTATGAGGTGTTAGATATGTAAAATATTAAGTATATAGTGGTATGTATGTAAATTTCTCTAAATTATTTTGGTCGTTGCATTGAGAAGGTCTTGGCATGTGTGGACTAGCCTAGTAACAAGCAAATGGTATATTGATTACAAAAATAGTTGCTAAACTCGTGTAGTGAAATTATGGAAGGACATAACTCATTTTTGTCGGTTGGTTGGGAGCTTAGGCTATCAACTAAAAAGTGATGGGTTCTAGTCTTGTGTGTTTGAGTCTGCCTTAATTAGCTTAAATGTCCCCCAAAAGACATTCAATTTTACTGTAAGTTTGTTGAAATCATGGTCTTCAATTTAATTTTTGAAATTTTCAACTTGATTTTGCGTTGAGATTCGTACCCAATCAAGATAATTTTTTGATGATGTATCTATAATTATAATGGATATTTAGTAGAGGATATGGATTAGGTATTTTCAACCACTTTTGAAGAAATAATCTCATTGTTTATTTGAGATTGGATAGCTTGTAATGACTAATATATGATAATAGTCATAAAAATATGGAGTTGTCTCAAATGTGCCACTTCTTTGTTGGAAATGCTATAAAATCACCCAACTTCATTACAAAGCTATCATAAATTCATCACAACTATGTATTAATAATGCAGTCTAATTATATGACAGAGCTACAATAGCTCTTTAACTAGTCATCCTTATTTTTAACTATGTGATTTAAAAGAGGCACTTATAATCAACCTGAACAATATGAATATCAACATAGCTTCCTTTTGCTAGTAGTTTTTATTATCTGGTAGCTTGATGACAATGGCTTCATGATAGGATAACTTGGCCATGAGATTCTTCAACACCTGAGCCTAAACTAAGCCTTGGTTGACCAAGTTGCAAGATAAAAAAAGGGCTTCTTAAACTAAGAAGCTTGGCATGATCATGAACCATAGAATATGTGTTGTAATTTGGCACATATGATTAAAACTAATGTTTGTTAATTTTCTCTAGTTCTATTATTTTCTTTAAATAGTTTTTAATGTATTTGTTTTCCTTTTAACTATATCTTTGATATGTCGCTAAGACATTATCTTAATCGGTCACAAATCTCAATGCAAATATGAGTTGGAAAATCCCAAAATTAAATTTGGGACCATCCAAACTCTTATTTCAACAAACTTATAGCCAAATTGAACATCTCAGGAAGATGAACGCAATGACACTTAATTCAGTCCAATATGAGCCCAAATCAAATAATTAAAGCCTACTTGAAAGCTTTATAGCATCATTCAGATGATCAATTAATATTTGAATATGTCATGTTTATAATAGAATCGATCGGCTCGACGATACTAATCCAACGATCCCAAAAGCACTCAATTATAACATCACTAAGGCACTTAAATGCTCAATAAATACTCCATAATTAAGGGAATCAATATTGGTGATACGTTTGAATACTCCAAAGTTGCCCTGAATCTTCTCCATATTTACTGAGCTTGACATTCCCAAAAAACTATAAATAGACCACATTCTTTACATGAAGAGGGGAGAGGGGAAGGAGGTAGAAGAGAAGATCTCTAAGGCTTGAAGAATCTTTTAACTCCACCCCGGCACCACCACTGATGAATTCGTGCCTCTATGCCACCACTATTGAACCTCTAACTGACAATCACTATTGGAGCTTCATCTGGCAGCCACTAACAAGCTTTCCTCCGACCAATATCACCGACTACAGTCCTTTCGACCACCTCACCCAACTACAACATTTTTGACCTTCGTCATTTGCTGACTACGTTCCCTCTGATATCTATCGCCCAAATATAGACCTACCAATTCAACGAATAAGCCAACACTCTCTTGAGGGCAGCTCTTTTGTCATTGGATTCTCCCAACTCCCACTATGTAATGTGCTTCATACAATGGATATTTTTTTATATTTAGCCAATAAATTTCTCAGGAGAAGGGTATCATTTGTAATCAACCACCAACACTAATGGAATTAAACTCTACTCTTCTTTTAAGCCATGCTCTTTAACTGACTCTAAGAATTTTCGAATCCTCAGTGGCACAAGTGGATGCCTTAACACATCTTTTAATCCTATAAAAAATTAATACTATTTCTCCTTAGCAGTACTGACAAGTTGAGGTGCACATCTGGCCAATGCAGTAAACTCCACCTCATATTGTATCACTGTCTTATTCCACTACTCCAGTCTTTTGAAAGCCTCATACATCTACTATCGACTGATGAGGGTATAAACAAATCTCGAAATACAACAACAAACTCTACTCAAGTAATCTATGCATTCATCTTTCCTTGAAATTTATCTTTATTGTCTAATCCACCATCTCTCAACTTCTACATTAAAGAAAAGCACTAATAGTATACTTTCTTATTTTATGGGCACTACATACTATCAAATATCATCTCTATCCTCAGTAACCAATCTTCTACTTCCTAAGGCTTTATAGCTCTCTTGAATAATGGGGTATTCAACTTGTGAAACATCTATACATATTTATCCTCTTCAGTCTCTTTGCTCCTAGTATGTCTACTTTGCACATCACTCATCAACTATGCTATTAGAATGACAAACTACATCATGTTGTCAAAACTCATTGGGGCAACTGCACTTTGTTCATTTGGTAGTTTAGGTGGATCCATTGCACTTAGTATATTTCTCTTTTGCTATCAAATGATAATTTAATCATACATATACATAAAATGAATGTAAAGAAAAGACATTCTAAAGTTATTAATTTCTACTAATCTTAATCATTTCCTATTGATCTGATTATAATTCAATTCATCCAATAACATTCGCTCTGATACCAATTTATAACACCTTAGGGTCTAATTTTGGAAATATTGTCTATTTTTATCTATTAAATAATTAATCAGTGATTCTATGAATTCATCAATATAAATTAATCTAGCATAAGCAACTAAAAATTATATACATAAAAATATAAAATTATATCCATCACTTAAAATACATGTACAGAAGCTAGGAGATCAAACATTACAATCATTTTAACTTGTTTACCTCTTGACTACAAAAGAATAAAACTAGAGAAAAAGCATAAACAAAATAAAATATGACTCCC